CACTACGTGCCAACGAAAAACATTTTCAATTATGAATAAAAACTGATTTTACTAAGGAAGTAGATAAAGTCACGTAATCCTTATTTATGTAAACGTCATCTGATGCAATTCAAATTTTTTACCGTTTCCGAACACATTTTTTCACGTCAATTTCTAAGCAATTTTCAACAAAATCACCGTTTGTAAAAACCATAAGATTTTCGTAATTATACGAGAAATTTCAAAACTAACTTCAGTGGCAGTTTCTGCATCTTGAATAATAAACATAGCTTGTTGATCAAATAGAGACTCGTTTTTTCTTGTGCTTTATTGTGTCCTTGTATTTCCATTTCTTTGAAATAGCAACAGAATCCTTGCAAATGAAGCTACCAATATTATGTGGCGTAACAAAGTCAAAATGTCTAAATTGTCGATTTTCATCTCTGTCGGTGTACTATACATATATTACTTACCTAATCCTTAAAGTTTGTGAGAAAAACTTAATCGCAAGCAAGCAGCGCGATAATTTTGCATAACCGATTATATCGTCGTAAGGATTTATTTTACATTTTAAAGCTACAAAATATGACCAAAATTCTCTGGCACTGATAGCAGCCTTCATTCTGGAAACATTCATCATTACTTCTAAGATAGATTTTGTAATAAAAAGAAATATTTGTTTCTCTTCGACATAGAGCTAATAAATTGCAACTAATAGCTAGTCATATTGTCAATTGTCAATGAATCAACAAATTGTTTGGGAATATCCCCAGGTAGATGTTTCCGTGACAAACAAATGCGTAATATCGCCCACCACCTTGAATCTGTTAATAATTTGGCTTAATTCTTGCGTAGGAAGGAGATTGCAGTTTGCGATCGGCTGTAAGTAAAATAATGTACTTTTCCTCGTTGCAAGGTCTTTGTGTGTTATTCTCTCTGTTTATATATTTTGGAGTGGCATTTAATTGTTATTGGGGGCGAACCCAGCCCGCCCACCCTTAATGAGTTTTAGGCTTACACTTGCTTCTCGTACCCATATACTCTTCCTCCCGCCGCCCAAAATCAGCAACGGATTGACCATGGACTATAAAAATGTTTTTTTGGCAAATATTCTATACCTACACCACATTTCCGCTAAAGGATTGCCTAGCGGTAGGCTTACAAAGTAAAATAATAACAATTTAGATATTAGCCTAAAGTATAAATTACGCGGGCCGCACACCTCAAAAATGGTTGGATGGCGTAGGCGGTCGGTGCGTTCGGTTGGAAGTTGACTGGGTTGTTCAGGGCCATGTCGACTCCACACGGCCGTCATAAACGCCTTGTGAATGGAACTTCGCTAGAGTAAGAAGGAGGAAATAAGAAGGTGAGTCTCTTACCTGTCCAGGTCCACCTTCTCGTCGCCGTTTCCCGGCAACCTCGGCTGTTCGTATACGATCCTCTTCACGATTCAGCTAGGTTACGTGGAGCTTCCCAGCAGACCTGAACATCCCATACAACCAGTTCGCCAGAGAGAATCAATGGATTACGAGGTCCGGCTTGAACAGCTAATTCATCCGCATCGTGTGCATCGTCACCTTGCGGAAGTCGTGCCACTTGATACGCTCGTAATGGGTCACGTCACGACATCCCTGTAGTACGTGGGACAAGATGACTCCACCCGAGCGCACCCTCCCCTGCATAGACGTTCCTCTCTCGGGACATAATGGAGGCCTTTCGTAGAGTGGTCTGAAGAGCGTAATTGAAACGGGGTGTTGTAATAGAAATGATCGGCTGGCAGTGTCATTGGCGGCCTCCTGAACAATAGGAAATAATTGTTCAGGTAAATAAATTGGAAAAACAATTACTCGTGGTTATAGTCTGTGACACAGCGGACACCTCCATACACGCTTAACTGCGGTCTTGATGCAAGCCGTGCAGAAAATTGAGGACCTGATATTTTCCTTGGTTATTAAATTTTGGTTACAAATGCCAGACAGAAGTATTTCGACTTTTCGATCTTTTTCTCTCGGAGAACGCAAGAACTAAATGTAGATTTTATCCAAATTTTGCAGTTGTTCAGGTGTATTGAGCCTTTACTGACTCTGGAGTGCCTCAGAACCTGCCTGTGCAGATGGATGACTTGATTGTAAGGTTTGATTCCACGATGGTGTCCTGATAGTCGTCTCGGTTCGTCCCAGTTAGGTACTTTGCTTGCTTCCTTGCCGAGTCGTTAACAATGGGCATCTTAGCCCCAGATATTGTACCAAAATCCGATACAGCTGGGCAAAAACCAGCTAGGGGAGACCAAAAGGCGTGAAGCTTCATACGCAGTGTATAGATGCCAGTGAGTATGAGCCATGGTGACCAAGTTAGGACTAAGGTTCTGATCAAAGTAGTTGATGTGGACCTTCTTAGCATAGACGGTCGCTTCTCCTCAGCCTGTATGGTGGTTTATTACCCAATAATTAGCTTTGTGACAAAGATCAACGTTAAAGCCCTCTGGTATCTATTGGCTTCATTTATGCTGTGTTTTGACAACTTCTAGATGCTGGACCTTCTTGGAGAAGGGTGTCGCAATTACATATTATAACGGATGGGATTGGTAACAAGCTACTTTAAACCAAAGGTTTCAAGTAGATAGCAAAGGTTCCTAGTTTTCACTTCACGTTCTTTCACCATCATTTATATTTATCAAATTCAAATTAAAATCATCGACACCCATCAGATATAATAATTATTGTACTGCATCATTCTGTTTCGCTGCACTGTAGAAATGTTGGTAATTAAATTGCAACCCGTATATGGGGCCCCGGATTTTGCTTACTCGAATAATGTTAATTGTCTATGCTGGAAAAAAAGGTTTGGTTATAATACTTAATTGGATCTCGCGGATTCCTTTATATTAAAAGCACTTAATGCTCTCATTGTATTTTCACAAGTTTATGGCAGTAAGTCCAATCGTTTCTACAACCGAGTATCTCGTTTTTAATTGGTCGTTCGTTCCAATCACCATATTGGGGCTAAAATGCTATACTTTAGTATATGAGTTTACGCTTTTCTTTGTGTTTTTGCGAAATT